AGGACTGGTGTCAACTTAAGAAAGGTTGGGAAGGGATATATAGATGGATCTCTTTAAATGAACCCGGAAGTGAGAATATTTCTGAGCTATGTGAATGCTCACAACAAAGCCTTCATTGTGAAAGAGGTTCTAAATAATCGGGTGGACAGCATAGCCTATACTATAGATGGTGGTCTCCCTCTGTTAAGTCAATGCTTAATGGGAGCATAAAATGCCAGGATGGTGGGATATTCTTCAGATGGACCCCCACTTTCAGAGGCTTTCCTGGCTACTGCTGCCTTTCTATCTCTGCTGCCCTCCCACACCACCACCATCTTCTCTCCCTTTCCTTCTTTATGGCATCATATCTTGGGGGATGAGCCAGCTACCTGATAGCCAATTAATTGTATTAGACAAGGTAGCACTTTGTCGTTTTGTCCCTACTGGTAGACATATTATGGTCTTAGATCTGCTTTCCTTGCCTCTGGCAGCCCCACTATTTACTGCATAATTTATACATTATCTTGGATTCCCACTACATTGCTCTGGCCAAGGAACTCACTATCCAGAGGAGGTAAGACAACATGCTCAATTGCTCAATTCTTCTTCTTTTTTTTTTTTTTTTTGAGACAGCGTCTCATTGTCACCCAGGCTGGAGTGCAGGTGGAGTAGTATGATCTCAGCTCACTGCAACCTCTGCCTCCTGGGTTCAAATGAGTCTGTCTCAGGCTTCCAAGTAGCTGAGATTACAGGCATATAATCTGGTGTATTTTGTATTTTTAGTAGAGATGGGTTTCACCATGTTGTCCAGGCTGGTATTGAACTCTTGGCCTCAAGTTACCTGACCGCCTCCACCTCCCAAAGTGCTGGGATTACAGGCATGAGCCACTATACGCGGCCATGCTCAATTCTTATTCTGTTGACTTCTCTTTTATAATGCACCTTAAATACTGAAATAATCTACTCAAGATTTAGTTATTATGCTAGCTGAGAGTTAACACTATGATGGCATCTTTCTGGGTGCAATGTATGTTTTTATCCAAGAGCTGATTTTTGCTGTTTTCTCCCATGCCCATATTACATAGGTTCAAGAATCAAGACATTGTCAGATGTTTCTATTACACCCACTGACCCAGTAATAAAGTTTTTACTTTCTGTTCCGCTGACTCTGAACTCTGTTTTAAAGATTTTGGTACTTAAGCAGGGAGTTCAAAAAGAAAACTGGTTCAGAAGAACTGGAAGTTCAAACTGCCATCTGGTAGTTTTAGGTTCTGTATGCCATGGATAATCATGCAAAAAAGAGGGTCACCATATTAGTTGGGGTGTTTTAACATTACAATACAAATGCTGCCACATAATAAGCAAGGTAGAATATAAAAGGAAAATATATTTGTTCTCATACTGCCATATACAGTGGCAAAAGATGAACTAAGAGTTTAAATGTGTCAGAAATAAAGCTTTGGTTACTATATTAGGGAAGAAACGTAGTTAGCCAAGGTAGGAGCCAAAGCAAAGACAAAATAGAATATATGTATATAGAAGGGAAGGTGTCATGACCAAGTGCTTGCTTAAATAAATAAGACGGTAACTTGGATCTGTATTTTCTTGCTCTTATATATAAAGTGTATTTTAACACATTTCCCATCTTTTTGTCCTTTTTAAAAATATTGTTCTAGTTCACATAAAAAAATCAATGTCCTGTCTTAATTAGTATTAAAATGCTAGTATAATTTGAAGAATATCAATAAGAGTATGTGACAAAACTAGAAGGGACATAATCTGAATGTCCTGGCTTTGGTATTGGATGTAGTACATAATGGCTACATTGTTACATATGATACTGTTGTAAGTTTAAGGGTCAAAACAGAAGCTGACCAGCAAGTAGAGTGTACAGTGATTATTTGTATTTCTGGTTGTTTGATATCCATTCAAGCATCTTAAAAGAATTTCAGATGCTGTCTTCAATTAGAGAAGCCAAAGGAGTAGGCACACACACTGATTTTGGCCAATTGGGCACACTCTGCAAGGGTCCATCTGTATATATTATCCTGACCAGGCTATTCCCACTATCAGACAGTCCCTTTGCTTCATCCTCCTTGACTCGCTGGCATTTTCTAGGCTCCTGCCCACCAGTCCAAATTCCCTTTTCCTTAGTCAGATGGTGTGATGGTTAATATTAAGGGCCGACTTGATCGAAGGATGCAAATTATTGTTCCCGGGTGTGTCCGTAAGGGTGTTGCCAAAGGAGATTAACATTTGAGTCAGTGGACTGGAAGCAGCAGACCCACTCACAATGTAGGTGAGCATCATCCCATCAACTGCCAGAGAGGCAAGAATAAAGCAGGCAGAAAGTGGAAGAAGCGGATTTGGTAAGTCTTCCAACCTTCATCTTTCTCCTGTGCTGGATGTTTCCTGCACTTGAACATCAAACTCCAAGTTCTTTGGCTTTTGGACTCTTAAACTTACACCAGTGGCTCTCAGGCCATCGGCCAGACTGCAGGCTGCACTGTTGGTTGCCCTTCCTTTGAGATTTTGGGACTCAGACTGAGCCACTGCTGGCTTCCTTGCTCCTCAACTTGCAGACGGCCTATTGTGGGACTTTACCTTGTGATCGTGTGAGTCAATTCTTCCTAATAAACTACCAGCTGGGTGTGGTGGCTCACACCTGTAATCTCAGCGCTTTGGGAGGCCAAGGCAGGTGGATCACAAGGTCAGAAGTTCGAAACCAGCCTGACCAACGTGGTGAAACCCCATCTCTACTAAAAATGCAAAAAATTAGCCAGGCATGGTGGCACACACTTGTAATCCCACCTACCTCAGGAGGCTGAGGGAGAATTGCTTGAATTCAGGAGGCAGAGATTGCAGTGAGACGAGATCTCGCCACTGCACTCCAGCCTGGGCAACAAAGCAAGACTCCGTCTCAAAAAATAAATAAATAAATAAAAACTCCCTTTCATATATATGTCTATGTACCCTATTAGTTCTGTTCCTCTACAGAATCCTAATACAGATGGTTTCTGGCACTACATAACCAAGAGAATGGGCAGAAATGGGAAAACAGACAAAACCAGAAAATCTCTTTTTAAATTTGACTTACCAGAAGTCTCTCAATCATGTATTTTCGAGGAGACTACTTTTAGTATTGGCTATTGTCCCCACTTCTTCAGTGTGAATCTCCATTAATTGTATCCTTATCTTTCCTATTTCTAATCTTTCTTGAGTGTGTGGTGGGGGGCAGAGGTGTTACTCTGCTGCTTGTGCTTTTGATTAGTATTCATAGCTCATTAGTTTTCAATCTTACGTTTGTCCTGATAAATATTTGAAGTTATAAATTACCTTTACAGTGTTTTATCTAGATCCTACAAATTCTGGCATGTAGTATTCTTCCCACTTGACAGGTAAGGAAACAGCATTTCCCAGTTTCCTTAGCTGTCAAATGGGAAGAATAATACTTAACAAGTATTATTAAGGAACAGTTGTAGTTAAATCTCATTACCTTATATAACTAAAGAATAATAACTACAGTAGCATTCTTGTAACACTTAAAAAGGCAGAACTGAGTTTTGGGACATAAATAATAAATTTTTGATGAAACAGTAAGATTAATAATAACTAGTTTAATTTATTCTAAAACATCTGTGAAAGTCCCTAAGACTAATCATTAGCCACAGGAATACTTATACCCTGTGCATCTTTCACAAGTAACTAAATGGAATACCGTAAGCCACACATAAAGAGATGAGATCATGAGTCAGTTTCATAACAGAGATGGATTCCAGATGCTAGATAAGCTCATCTTGACTTGTTTTGTTGCAAATGACAAAAGCCAATGTTAACAGCAAAGGCCAAAAGAGAGAAACTTACTGACTTGTGTATCAAGAGTGGCAGCATTGCCACTGGGCTTCAGGGACCAGGGGAATGCCATTAGCAATATCCCTATCAACCTTATTCTTTTCCACTGAGCCTGGCTGGACTATGAGCTGCCAGCATTTACTGGGCTTGTATTTTCCCAGCTTTGTCACATTTTAATTTCAACTTGAAAGATCCTGGGAAGAGACATACTTCACTTAAGTCATGTCTATTCTATTCATTGCAGCCAGGCAAGATGAGATTAGAACTAACTCAACTGGAGTTAGGTAACTACCTTGACTAACCACTCTGCTAATGAATGATTTATATTTGGACTCTAAGTCAGATTGGAGAGGAAGGTCATTTCCCAAAAAAGGGGAGTAACAGTCCAGAAGAAATAGGATTACAAAGTATCTTACTGATACATATCTCTCTATATGTATCTATATTAATATATATCTTGTACATATAGTCATGTTTGGCTTAACGATAGGCTTTTCTACTATGAGAAAAGCATCATTGGGCAAATTCATCATTGTGTGAACAAAAGAGTGTACTTACACAAACTTAGATGGTATAGCCTACTACACACCTAGGTTCAATGGTATAGCTTATTGCTCCTAGACTATAAACCTGAACTGCATGTTACCGTACTGAATATTGCAGGCAACTGTAACACAATGGTACTTGTGTCTAAACAGAGAAAACGTACAGTAAAAAATACAGTATTATAATTTTATGGGGAAATTCACTGTCATATATAGTTTGTTGTGACCAAAACATTGTTATATAGCACGTGACCATCAAGGGTCCACACATCTCTAGAGTCTACTGTTAATAATTTTCTTAGTCATTAGACACAAAGAAACTGGAGGGAGCTACTCACATTGGTGGTAGATGGGAATACAGAGGGATGGAGAGGAGATAAATTGATTCTGTTACTTGTACAGATCTCTGCAATGCAAGAGCCCTTTGGGGTTTAAGGGTGCAGGAAGGCAGGCAGGAAGTGAATATAGACGCATTGCAACCACCACTCTGGTAGTAATACTTAAGCCATGGGATTGATATTTAGATACACACATACACACACACCCCACTTCGGATAATTTAAATTGGAGCAGTATTAGTCATTTCCAACCAAAGAGTTTTGAATAGTAAAAGAAATGCTAGACTTTTAGAAACGTTGTTTAGTCAGTAACAACATACAGCAGATAATAATGAAACACACTACACAAATTCATTTCCCACTTAGCCTGAATAATCAGTTTGACTACATAATGGATTCTTATTGTAAGTTTTCCTATGGCCAGGGAAAACAGATTTGTAAATAGTCTATCTTTCTAAAATTGAAGTGACTTTCTAAACATCTAAAGTGTTTAGTAATAGAAGGGAACAATTAAGGCTTAATTACTAAGAAAACAAAACATCACAATTAAAGAAGAATATTTAAATAGGAAAATTATAAAACTATATGAACTATATGTCATTTTTAATACATAGTATCAAAATACCTCTTCTACTTTGGTAACTAAATTTTTGAGATTAAGAACAAACTAGTTCAATCATTCTCACATACAAAAATTTCATGTTTATATTTATTAAAAACAAAATAATGCAAGTTCTATTGAGGTAACAATATATACACCAAGATAAATATTTGAAATTGTGGAAATAGAAATAGTAAAAACTTCAAATTTCTCAATATTTTAATGACTTAAATAATTTACCTTTTTTCAGGCATTTTTTTGGTATTAAAAAATACACGTATTTAATTTTAAACTTAGGTCAATGTGCTTTTTTTAAAAAAAGAAAAACAATTAGTAAAAATGACAGGTACTAGGTTTGCACCAGCTAAAAAAATAATGTTTACAGTTGTCTAGATGCAATAATTTTAAAAACATACAAATTCAATTTGTAGTATGAAAATACATTAAAAAACACATAAGGAACTGTGTCTCATAAAAAATATAAATGCAACTTCTATTACTTATATGAGTATCAAAAATTAAATATTGATTTAAAAGTAGCTTCTACAAAATGTTGGAGTGGTAGGCATTATTTGCTTCCTAAATATACAAATAAGTATTTCTAGCTCAACTCAACAGAAATATCAGTATTTCTTGGCAGAAAATGTAGTATATACATGAAAAGGCAAGCACTGTCCTGTATTCAAGTTTTTTAGTTTGATTTCCATTAAAATGTTTTCTACAGCTTGTAAGAACTACACATACAAAAGTAAAAAGATGAGGTAAACATCTTATACTTTGAAGAAAGTATTTAAAACTTAATACTCAGATATTCCCAATTAATCTGGTATCTTAATACTTCAGCTATTCTAGAACAATGCTTTAAAAGATCTTCCATAGTGATGATGATTGTGACACATATCTGAACTACATAATGAACAGCAGGCTTCTCAGTCTTCTGAGTAGACAATGATGCTCTTTCTTGTTATTACAAAACAATCACGATTAAGTGTTGCCAACAATATTGCTCCAGTGTGGGTTTACATGAGGCACCATGCTACAGTAAGAGCAGCTACAATGCCATTCAAAATTGCCATGCTATAGCCCATGTGGAACGAATGTCCAGTCAGTTTCCTAGAAAAAAAGAAAACCACAAATCAAAAGAGGAAAATGTAATGTGGTATAACAAAGACACCAAAAGTTTTCATCAAAAATACTTATGACCTTGGAATATATTTCCCAAATGTTGGCATATGAATACAAAACTTAAAAAAAGAATATTGGACATCTGAAGGATGAATAGTGGATAGATCTTATTAAATTGTGTCAAAACTGTACTGGTTAACAAATATAGTTGTTTCAATTTCATTACTGATGAGTAATGCTGAGTTTCATCCCGATATTTCTTTACTGTGTTTACTTGTCTGTGTGTGTAGCCATAACCTAATTCTAAGGTATAAGTCTTGTTATATTACAATATTACAAACATGTTCTTTCATTAATTAGTGGTGTGTTTCCCTGCTCTTTGTTCTTACTTTGATTTAACTTAAAATACATATTATTTCAAGTATTTCTTCTGTTTGTACCATTTTTAGGTTATATGAAGGAACTCCCTTTGTCTTTTATAGATATTTCAGCTATCAATCTAATGTTACTTAACTAAAGTGGTTTTCAATGAGTTCTTAATAATCAGCAAAGGCTCATCTCATTTTATGATTGCTAAGAGTGCCGACTAGTTTAATAACCCTTATATGCATGGATATTCCCTGACATTTGTTTCCTTGATCTTGTAATAGTCTCACAATAGTTCTTCCCACTAACTGTATTGCAATAACACTATTTGCTTATCCAAATAAAAATGAGACATATTAAAAAGAAAAGAAGGTAGTATACAGTTAAGACTCTCTAGAAGGCAGAAGAGAATACTCTCCTTACTGGAGCAAGACAAACTGAGGACATACAGTAAGGAGCACTAGCAGAAGTAAAAGCCAGAAGACAAAAGCAGTAAGGGCCCTGGACTGAGAGGGTCATAATACCATATCTTCTCCTTTTCTAAGGAGTGGCCAAAGCCAAAGAAGTACTTAGTACTTAGCTCTGAATTAACACTTGAAGAGTACCTCATAACGATTCCAGTCGCACAATATCTGTGGCAGACAGTGAAGAAGGTACATTCTTCAAAGGACAACCCCTTGCATTCATCTGAAGCTACATAAGACCCTGATGCTGCCTGACAGCCCCCTGTTTTGTTCCACGGGAGTTACTCTTTCCACTCAATTTCTTTACCCAACCAGGGCTAGTCTAAGAAGCTTCCCATGTGCTAATAAGGGTTAATCTACCTGGCTACATTACCTACCTACATCATAAAATAGGTACAATAAATGCTTTGTCTCTTTAAAAAACAAATTCCTCAAATATATATTGATCATTAGTGAACAGAAACCTAATCATAAAATTGAACAATCAGCATTATCATTCATCGTAAAATATTTAGTGATGATCCACAAAACTTTTAAATTAATACAGTCGGTCTTCCGTATCAGTGGGTTCCACATCTGCAGATTGAACCAAGCAGGTAGAATATATTTGGGAAAAAAACATTGTATCAGTACAGAACATGTGTAGACTTTTTTCCCTTATCAATCCCTAAACAATACAACAATTATGTATATAACAGTTACATTATATTAGGTATAATATTATAAATAATCTAGAGATGTTTTAAAGTATATGAAAAATATGCTTAGGCTATATGCAAATACTAAGCCATTTTGTATGAGACTTTTGAGTATCCTAAGATTTTGATACCTATGTGGAATCCTGGAACCAATCCCTCACAGATACAAAAGGATGACTGTACTCACCAAATGAAGTTAATCATCAAAAGATTTCCAGAGTTAATTTTTCTATTTTACTAGTTTGTGATCCTCACAATCCCGCAAAAATAGAAAACCTTTAAAGTTCAGTTTACTAAGCCGACAACTACAATGTGAGTATAATTGAGTTTTACTGAGATGTATATGCTCAAATGTTCAGTGACTTCCTTTCTAAGCAGGCAAAGCAATGCATTTTAATGGCAATGAAAAAATGCTCAGGAATAGTGGTTCCTAGTCTTTCTGTCCTCTCAGATATACCACATCCCCACTGCGAACACTGTAGCGATTGTCACAGACTACTGCTAGGCAAAAGACTTAAATCTTTGAAGAATCACTTGCTTTAATTTAAAGCTTCTTTTCAAAATATTCACCATGATTTTCCTCTTTGGGGGAAGACACAGACAATCCCTGCAGGCTTTCTCTCTTGTGATTCTAATTGGTGATCTCTAAAGTCTGTTAATAAAGACAGAAGGAATTATGGTTCTCCTTTGTCAAAACTCATCTCTATAGAGGACTTGTTTAAAATTGACTCAAGTAAAATATTATCTTCAATTAATGTGTTTAATATCTTCGATAAATGATTATTAAATACAGTATCTACTTCATCCACTCTGTATACATGCATTTTACTTTTTAAATTAAAGCATATCAGTAAAATGCAAATATCTAACATGTGTACACACATCAATGAATTTTAACTGTGGTTGACTCTCATACACTCACTAACCACATCAAGATAGAGAACATTTCTGGCACTGCAAAAAGCTCCCTTTTAAATACTCAACTTAACCTCCAGATCTTGAGGTAACTGCAATATTGAGGGCTGTCGCCATTATTAGTTTCACTTGCTCTTGAAACTACATCAATATGACATCATACGGTATATATTTTTCTGTGTCCGGCTTCTTTTGCTCCAGGGCAGTATGGGCCATAGACTGAAAGGACCATAATACCCATATCCTCTCCTTCTTCCCTAAAGAGTGGCCAAAGCCAGAGAAGTACTTAGCTCTGAATTAACACTTGAAGAGCACCTTATAAGGATTCTACTTGCACAGTATCTGTGGCAGAGAATGAAGAAGGTACATTCTTCAAAGGACAACACTATGCTTTCATCTGAAGCTACATAAGGCCCTGATGCTTCCTGATGGTCCCCTGTCTTTGTGAGACTCATCCATGTTGTATGTGGTATTAGTTTGTTCTCTTTTACTGCAGTATATACCAAAACGTGCTTACTCATTTTACTACTGGTGGGCTTTTCCAATCTGGGGCTCCTATACATAGAGATACTATGAACATGTCTTTGGTAGGTGGTGGGCATCTGCACTTACTTCTCTTGGATAGATCCTAGGAGTAGAACTGCTGAGTTATAAGGTAGATATAAATTTGGCTTTAGTAGAAAGCATGAAACATTTTCCCAAAACAGTTGTCCCAATTTATACTTCCAACAGCAACATATGAGTTTAAGTTACCACATCATCATGAATACTTGGTATTATCAATGTTTTAAATTTTAACCATTTTAGTGGGTCTGCAGAGTATGTTTTAGTGGTTTTATTTTTCTGATGACTAATGTACTTACTGCCCACTCAGTCTCTTTTTTGATGTCTGTGCTCAAAACGTTTTCTCGTTTTTTCTATTGGTTTATAGAGTTCTTTACATATTCTAGATACAAATCCTTTGTTAAAGATATGTGTTGTGAATAATGTTTATGTAGTGGTTTTTTTTTTTTTTTTTTTTTNGATCTTTTGATGAACAGAAGTTCTAAATTTGAATACAGTCCAATTAATATTTTTAAAAACAGCTAGTGCTTTTTTGGTGGCTTTTTCATTAAATATTTGACTATTCCAAGGTAATGAAGATAGTCTCTATCTTAATAAGGTTTTAGTTTTCTTCTTTTGACATTTAGAGCTATAATTCATCTCAAATTAATGTGTCTTTCTTGTGTTATAGGACAACTAAACACAAAAGAATGAATTTGGTCCTTTACCTTACACAATATACAAAATATACTCAAAATGGACCAAAGACCTAAATACAAGAACTAAGACTATAAAACTCTTAGAAGGAAACATAGGTGTAAATCTGCATGACCTTGAATTAAGCGACAGATTCTTAGATATGAAAACAAAAGCACAAAAAACTAAAGAAGAAAACAGATAAATTAGATATCATCTAATTAAAGACTTTTGTGCTTCCAAGGACATTATTAAGAAAGTGAAAACCCACAAAATGGATGTAAATATTTGCAAATCATACATCTGATATCTAAGATATAAAGTAACTCTTATATAAGAGTCAAAAATAAAAAGATAAAAAGTCAAATTTTTAAAAGGGCAAAGGATCTGAATAGGCAATTATGCAAAGAAGATATACATACAAATACCCAGTAAGCACATGAAAAGCTGACGATGTTCAATATCATTAGTTATATGGAAATGAAAATCAAAACCACAAGAGATACTGTGTTCATACTCAACTTGGATGGTTATAATTTAGAAAAAGAAAACGAAAACAAGTGTTGGTGAGGATGTGGGGAAATCAGAAGTCTTATACATTGCTGGTGGGAATGTAAAATGATATAGCTGCTGTAGGAAACAAGTGGGAGGTTTCCTAAAAAGTTAAACATAGAGTTAACATATGGCCCAACAATTCCACTCTAGGTATAGCTCCAAGAAAACTGAAAACAAGTTCATACAAAAATCTGTATGTGAGTGTTCATAGCAGCATTATTCCTAATAATCAAAAAGTAGAACTACCCAAGTGTCCATCAACTGATGAATGGACAAAATAAAAAATCGTATATCCACATAGAAAATAATTCAGCCTTAAAAAGGAATGAAGTACTGACATATGCCACAATATGGATGAAACCTGAAAACAGTAAGCTAAGTGAAAGAAGTAAACACAAAAGACTACATTTAAAAAAAATCTGTATGATTCCATTTATATGAAATGTCCAGAACAGGCAAATCCATAGAGACAAAAAGCAGACCATGGGGTTTCCAGGGGCTAGAGGGAGGGGGAAATGGTGGAGTGATTGCTAATGGGTATGGGGTTTTTATTTTGTAGTGATAGAAATGTTCTAGAATTAGATAGCAGTGATGGTTGCTGAATATTGTTATTCAGTAGTTTTTAGTGAAAATATTAAAAACTACTGAATCATTTTAAAAGAGCGAAGTTTTATGCTATGTAAATTATATTTCAATGAAAAAAAAAAAAAAAAAAACACTTTACTGTTAGACATTAAAAGAGGACCTGAAT